ATTTTAAGGTCAAGCAGTCTGATCCGCGTGGCCATTTAACTGCTTCTCAGGCTCTGTCCGTTCCTCGCGACTACATTCTTGAAGAAGCTGCAGGATTACTAAAGGGACGTTGGCCAAATAAAATTAAAGTTAGCCTGGGCAATAAAACCAGTTATAAGAATAAGCGAAAGTCAGAAAAAGAGCCTTCCTGCTGGAACAGTTTCAAGTATGTCAAGTATAATAATGCCAGTTTTGCACTGAATCAAGTCTCGACAGTTGTTTCTATGTTTCACAAACTGTGCTCATTCCATTTTGTTTAGACACTACATCGGCTTTTGGAACTGCAATGCCTGGCGAAAATTTTATGGCTGATATGATAGGCCAAAACTTCCTCCTGAATCAACCTATGAATCAGATTCTAAATCAGGCCATAAAAGGTACTTATTTATCTACTTTTTGCTCATTTGTTGCACTGGCAAGCTCAAATCTGCGGAACCCTCAGATTTCTATTTTTTCAACAAAATAGTATAACCTGGCTCTTTGTTAAGCTCATGTGAAGTATTTTTTAGTAACGTTTTAAGGTTTTTTATTCCAATAGTTTCATATTGTGCCATTTTTAGCCACTTTGGGGGCTGCATCTGCAACGCCAGATATTTTTAATGTTCAAAAATTAGAGCTGCCAAAGCACGGGGAAAATGAAAAAGGTGAGGTGATCGGCGAAAAGGATTTTAAGCAAAACAGATATTTCAGACCGGAAACGAATGACCACTGACTTGATGAAGAAATGAATGGTACGAGAACCGTTTCTTGTAGGGAAGAGCCGTCAACAGTTGCGGGTACTGGCTTTTGCTATTTCCTTAGTCAGCTACCTATGGATGGGCGACCAGCTTTGTGACCTGCTGGCCAATCCATCGCACGAGTTTCTAATTCGACTGATGTGTCAAGGATTATATTGAGCTCAATATTAGTTTTGTTCAGAATCTGACAGTGATTTAAACCCACACTCCTTGATGTATTTCAGGAACTGAAACCCGTTTCCCATGAACTTTAAAAAAAGATTCCTCAAGAATTAACTGAATCAAACCAAGAAAAGCCGTGGAATCTGAAGATGCTCACATACTCGCCTGTTAGTTATCGCTC